GTCAGAAGTGCACGCATCAGTGCATTCACAAGATGTGTGGCGGCCGCCGTGGCTTGTGGCAAACGATGCTCACTCCCACTCATCCTGCACTCTGTCGTCAGCAATGCGAACGCCATGTCAAACCATCGATGGGCCTCCTGCGCCCGCTCCTCGCCATTTTCGTCTCCAAGTAACTTGTAGGTTAGAGCGGGGTCGCATTGTGCGCTGCCGTACAAAATGCGCTGCCCCAAACAAGGAGCTGAAAGCGCATCAATAAGAAGGCCGTAGTGACTCATGCGGAGTGCACGCTGCTGATGCAACTCGTCCACGATGCCGCTCGCCTGCTGGTAGAGTCCATGCTGCGCCAAACGGATGGCAAGATCGAATGGACCGTGTGGGGAGGAAAGTTGTATCGTCTGCGTCTTTGCTTGCTGTTGTTCCTGCGTGTCCCCCTCCAACAACCGCAGCAGGTTTGAACAGGAAGCACTGAACGCCCGCATGCGTGCCTCCCGTTCACGTTTGCGCTGGAGTAGAATGAGATGGCGCTGGCGCTTTGTGATGCCGCCAAAGTAATAAACACCCTCCCACTGATTCTGCGGTTTGCGCTGTGGGAGGTTGGTGCGGATCATGTAGTACGACGGCACCGTCGTCTTGGCAACATTCTGTGAGAGCATCTCCTTCGTCAGACGCTAAAATGGCACTTTTCAAGGAGCGGTGGTTTCCCTTCCCTTCGGCCACCAACGCCGCGGGGCACAGAAGAAAACAAGAAGAGCCCAGAAAAAAAAAAAAATACTAATAAAGCTGCACGCAAAGACACGACGACTGGTGTCAAAAGAAAGAGTGCCATCACACAACACAAAAACAAAAAGCGCCCTCCATGACAACACCCTTCCACTCACATCTCACAATTAATAATGATAGCAATAATATTAATAATAATAATAATTATAAAACAAAAAACAAAAACAAAAACTAGATAGGTGGAGGAAACTCTTAGATTCATTTCCCTAACAGAAGTTCTTTTGTTGTGGTGGTTGTGTTTGTTGTTTTATTTTGTTTCTTGTTAGTGCTGCTCTGTGCATGTGTGCCTCCTCAGTTCCGCCAATGCGTGTGCACGCGCACACACCATAAACTTCAGGGAAAGGAATATTCTCAGGTGGAAACTGGGGAGGGATAAATGAGAAAAAAGGAACTGAGCTGACAAACGGAGTGCGGGAGCCGTGGCCGGGTCTCACAGCTTCCACCAACTGCGGTGCCGACCATTCGCAGCTCTTCTCCGCCGAAGCCGCACGACGCAAACCAAAAAAAAGGCTAGCACTGAAATGAAGAAGCAGAGAGTCTGGACTGAAACATGAAGCAATCCATCGTCACCCCGCTTCGTTCTCCTCTTCACTGCGCGACGCCACTTCCCCTCACCTTCTTTCCCTCGTACAGACGATGGTTGCCAGTTGTCAGGCATGCGTCGCGGCGGCCGCATGGGGTCTTTGAGCAGCGGCGACGTGGGAGGCCGCACGGCTCGACCAAACGGGTACTGAGGCACTGCGATGCGGCGCGACGGGTCGCTGTCGTCCAGCAAAAACTCCACGTACGCCACGTACCCGCCATAGGAACTAAAAAACCGACTCAGTCCCACATCGGCTCCCACAAGGCTGCCGTTGCATTCCACCGCCATGACTCCACCTTCCTGAACGGTGTGCCCCCCAACCATCACACGCACCGGCGGTCGCCCCGACGCCAGTTCGTGCTCCGAAAGCAAACGAAGCGATTCCATCAAGAGGGAGCAGTTGCCCCGCTTGGCCTCGTCAAGAACGGCCCGAGACCACAGAGGACTGCTGGAATTACTGAGCGGGTGTACTCCATCTCCCTTCGCGTCACCTTCCAAAAGAAGGTCTCGCTCGCCGCGAAACCCGTTCATCAGCTCAGCATTGATGCCCTCCACGCCCTTCGCGGCGTACTCCGGCGTGATACCAGCGTGCGCAAAAACAACCCCCTCGCGCACCACAGTCACAGGATGCTGAAGAATGTACAGGCCGTAGGGACCCTCTGGGCCAAAGGCCGCCGCGTACGCCTCTTCTCCTCCAAAGGCACTCATAACATCAGGGTGTACGTAGTAGAAGATGCCCAAGATATTCATCAGCTCATGGTTGCCCACAAGAAAAATAAATTCCCCGCCCGCCTTCATTGCCTGCCGCTCCAAGGAGGCAAAAAGGTCGTAAATCTCGTGGGGGTGGAGCCCGCGATCAGCGATGTCGCCAAGTTGGACAACTATAGAAGAACCAGCAATCCAGCGATCCTCGGTATCCGTAATATTTGCCAGCTGCAATATTTGGCGACAGCGAAAAACATCGCCATGAATGTCTCCAAACGCAACCAGGCGGGGCTCAGTGCCGCGGACGTTTACCGCCTCCACGTGCAAAAACGCCACAAAATATGCCGCAGCGCCAAAAAGTAGCAGCAGCAATACCCCCCTCATGTCACGGCATAAAAAAAAAAAGAGAAAAAAGGCACACGCAGTCTCACACAAATAGAAAAAAAAAGTGAGATGTAAAGAATAGAAGAGGTCCTCGAAAGCCTTTTTAATAAACTAAAAACTAATAAGGGAAAAATCAGGTAAAGAAGTGGGAAGAAAGTCGGCCATGAAACACCAGGACCAACACATCAATGGGGAGTCAATGGGAAAATCAACAGCCACACGCATCCATACGCGTGGCAGAATGTATACATCCAAAAGAACTTCAAAAAAAAAAAAAAAAAAAAAGCAACTCTCCTGCATGGCGATGGGACGCCTTTTTTTTTTTCGTCTCTGTGCTGCTATGCCGTAAGGAAACACGTCGCGCAATGCCCCGTTCAGACTGCAGTAACAAACACGCAAAAAAATATATACTCTTATAATGTTGTGCCGGTACCTTCTGTCATCTCCATGGGGATCTCGCCTTTACTTTTTACAAATCCCCGCGAATACCATCCTCGCCAATGACGTACGCGCCGCACAAGGGGGGATTTGAGGGGCCTGAGAGAACAATGAGCTTTCGATGTGTCGTGCCACCCGTGCCTTGAAGACGTCGAAGATGAATACGCACATGCGGCGTCAAGGACCACTGAACCCCAAGTGCGGGTATTACCGCGTCTTTGACACCATGCCGCTGCTGCTGTCCACCAGAAAGCATTGAGCGCACTTGATTGGTGACAACCACTGCGGCCTTCTCGTGTACCGCAAACGTTTTTAATAATGTCCCCACAACCATCACATCTGTTCTCATCTCCCCTCCTCCATCATCAGCATTTGCACCGTTACCTGCACCGGCAGCCCCCGCAATGGAGTCCACCGCCACCATCCCTCGACCACCCAAGGCGTGAAACGCCCTTGATAAAGTGCCAGAATGAAGCAAAAAAACAAGTTCCTTCAGTGTGCCTACACGACGAACGTGTAGTCCCCTTATAACGGAATTCACTGTCACCTCCCGCTCCAAGTACGCCTTTAGCCGGTCAACAGTCGATGGCGGAAGGTGCGCTGATACGCGAAGAACCCTCCGCTTTTCTCGTTCCACAGTACCCGCCGCCAGTGCTGCAAGTCGAGCTGCCGGGAAATTCTCCGAGACAATGTACAGTGCTGCCACGCCTCCTGTCGTCAATCCACTGGAGCAACTCTCCGGTGTACCAGAGGGATGCCACCGATCACACAAGTGCTGTGCAACACAATGAAGCAGACTCTGTAGAACAAGTTGCGTCTTGCCACTGCCTGCCTCACCATACACTTCTGAAACAAAGCCAGCACGAAACCCGCCGTCTGATGCGTCCTTCGCTAAAGCACCGTTACCCCCGCTAAGAAGATGGTCTAGAGACGGGCACCCCGTGGTAAAGAAAAGAGAGCTACCGTAAAATGCTTCTGCGGGAGCCGAGCCCTCGCCAGCAGGCAGGCAAAGCAGACTCTCCACACTTCTTGATATCGATGCAAGGCCAAAATCGTTACGTGAAACCTCCAGGGAGGTTGGTGTGTGCTGCCGAGTGACATGTTGTGTACTAAGAGCCAGCAGCACCTTTTGAAGAAGACGCTGGACCTCCGCAGGGTGACAAAATGGCTGCCGCCTCTGTTCCTGTCGCACCGTTAACATCATTTGTCGCTGCACAAAAGGGCAGCCACTTGTCAATAAAAGAAGCAGCTCTGTCTCCGCAGTGACACCCCATTCGTGGCAGCACTGCAACAAAGTGTCCGCAAGAACGCTCTCCGTTGGGTTCTCTGCCAGTCCCGGAAGGAGACGCTGGAGACTGGCAGCGAACGGCTTCTCCGCATGCATAAGCGTCATCTGTTCTGGTTCCCACTCCTTGCTGGCGCGGGAAAATCACAAGCGCTCAATGCACTTCTCAAGCGGCAATACCTCCCCCGCGAGGAATGCGTGCCAACTCCTCCTCCTTCTTTTTGCTCTCCACCCTCCTCCTCAGCCCCACCACCACAACTCCACAACAGCAGTCCAAGGAAGAAAGGAAGACTGGCGAAAAAAAAAAAAGTGAAATCAGGCACAAAGGGACAGAGCAAAGGATGGCAAGACACACAGTGAAAGGAATAAAGCCCAAATAAAAAAAAGTAAAACGTTACAAAAAGGAAGGAATAAAGACGTAGCCACAGCAAAATCGGTCAGAAAAAAAGAAAAAATATATACGCACCCAAAAGCAACAAAAAAAAATAAAATAAAATAAAAATACAACAACAACAAACAGCAAACAACAGACCCTTTTATTATTATTTATTGTTTTGGTTTGGTTTCTTGCTGCACCTTCAACGCTTGGCATCCCCTCCATCTCCACTTTTCCGTCATTCCTCTGCCCCTCTCTTATCTCGCCCCATGCACACAATCACCCAAAAAACCCAGTATATTTCAATATGCACACAAACAAACAAACGTTAAGCTTCATTCTCTCTGTTAAGAAGATTTAGGCGTCTCTTCCCTTCTTTCGCCGTCGTGGTCCTCGGAGTTCCCTGGACTTTCATCCGCCAACTCGTACCGCTGCGACGAACCATGCAAAAAACGATGCTTCCTCAATAGGCTTACCTGTTCCCCGTAGCTCTTGCAATGTGGCAGTCAACCCCTCCGTCTCCGCAACGCGGATACGCAGCTCCGCCTCGTATGACACCTCACGCGTCTTCTTCTCCAAAAGCACAGCATCTTTCTCTACCTGCAGTGCATCCATAATCGTGAAAGCCTCTTCAAGCGCAGCCGCAAAATCTTCTGTCATCCTCGCTTCGCTCTTTACCCGCTGTCGTTGTTGTTGTTGTTGTTGTTCCTGCGCGTCGGCACGGAAAACAGACACATTTACCGTCGGCCCGTTCATAACCAGTCGACAGCGACACAACTCCTCAAGTAACTCCTCTCGAGTGAGTTCCATATCCAATCGCTGCTGGGCCTTCGCCTTGTTCTCTGCATCCTCGTAAGCCATTAGTTTTCTTGCGAGGCCGACGATGGCACTTTTCAACCGCGTCTCCAGAATACGCTGTTTCAGCTCCGGCCACTGCTTATGACGGTGCTCTCGTTGCACCCGCGTAACCTCCTTCAAATCGCATCTTATTCGATAACGAAGCTCCTGCGCATAGGTGCCAGCGTCTGGCGTCTCTCTGTGAAGGGAATTTACCGCCAACTTCCTGGACTCACCGCCATTGGAGACTCGCGCCTCGGCAAGTTCGTTTTCCAAAAACTCATTTCTTTTCCGGCACTCAAATAACAATTTTGCGCCATTAATTGTGTGCGGCGCCATTATTATGCCAACTGCACTCGTCCCCCTGTGCTACCTCCGGTTCCTGTACAAAACACGTACAATGTGGGTCCGTCCCGCGTAAACTCGCCTGTCGAGGAGAATGCCCCTGAGGGTCAGAATACCCGAGAGAGACGACAACATTTCTCTCCACTCGCATCGCCAATTTAGCGCCTGTCCCGGGTTTCCTCCCTTCCTGTGGAGGTCGGTGAATTGAGGGTCCCTTTTGCTGAATTCCGCTGCGTCGCGCGCCATCCCCGCCGCGGTCGATTCCGTCTTCCAGCGAGGGGGACTTCGCCCTCAAGATTGAGGCGCCAAAGTTCGGATCCGCCGGAATGGCACGATATGCGCTCAATAAAAAGGCGTTGCGTTCTCTCTCACCTTTCGTCTTGGCATCGATACAGCGCTGCAGATAGTTCGTCCTTTCGCTGACGTCCGCCAAATCCATCTTGGTGTCAGACAACTGACTCAGTGCATCCGCCTTCTCGCAACGCAGTTCTTCAATGCATTTGTTAGCCTCCCGTAGCTGCTGACGCAGCAACTCAGGAACCCCCTCACTATCTCTCAGCCGAGACTCAAGATGCCGCATCCCCGTGAGGGTGCTGCTCATCTGCTGTTCTTGTTCAAGCAATTCCATAAGCGCCTCGTTGCAGCGCCGCGTCTCGCTCCTAACGCGCTCCTTGAGGCCATCGCGGTCAAGTTGCGCAATTTCATTCTCCACCCGCTCGTCCTCGACGACGTGAGAAGGGCAGGCGTCGCCTTCAAAGACACACGGCAGATTGTTTAGGTACTCCCGCACAACGGCATCTCTGCAGGCATTGCGTCCGACTTCTTCTTCTTCGTCGCTCGCAACAGGCCGGAAGCTGCAATGTTTCCAACCTCGGCGGCGTGTAGGAGCCTGTCCATCACGACAGTCGGCGCAGAATGATCGATGAAAACAAACAGCACCACCGCCAAGAACACACACACACACACACTGTGCACCGCAGCTATCGCCTAACCACACGGCTATCCGCCAGTCTATATATATATACATACATACAGGCAGTTAAACAACTACGAGAGAGAAACCAAAGACAGAAAACCTCAAGTTTGCCTTCCGCCGTTCCTGAAAACAAAAGGCAACCCAAAAAAAAAAAAAAGCAAAGAAAAGGCAAAAAAAAAAAAAGAAAAAAGTGTTGTCATGGAATGCGGCGTCTCCAATGCAGTAGCGGGGGGCGGGGAGGGGAGCAGCAGAAGGGGGAGATGCAGAGTGAAGGGAAATGGCAAGTCACATTCCCCACAGACCGTGTCAGCAGACAAATATACACATACAGCATGGCTACAAATACATATATTTATATATGCATGTTATTTGTTTTTCATGTGCACACAAAAAACACGTATGTGCATGGCCCTGCCGGGCAGTACTGAATGAAAACAGTAAAAAAAAAAAAAGGGAAAAGAAGCAACAGGGACGGAGAAAAGCATCGTGATTGAGTTTCACGCACAATATCGTGTAGGGAGGAGGGGAGGGGAGTGAAAACACACACACACACACAAAAAAAAAAAAAAAAAACTAAAATACAAAAGGCCAAAGGGGAGAAAACAATTAGCAGACACACACGCAGAAGTAAAACAACAACAACAACAACAAACGAGGTAAGTGAAAAAAAAAAAGGAAAAAAAAAAAAAAAAGATATACACGCATAAATTTCTCGCTAAAACGGATATAAAAATGAATACATAAATGTATATGTATATAAGCATGCATATTATACCCCCCCCCCCCCCCTACCCAACACCCACAGAAACGTGCACGCACAAATTTTCCACAACGTTCTCCCCGATTGGGTTTCATTGCCCACGCATACACATATATATATATATATATGTATGTGCGGGCATGCTACCCATCCCTGGATGCTAATTACTACCATTGCCACAAATATAATGGAGAAAAAAAAAAAAAATGTCAGGCTTCTTCACTCAGGAGTAAACTTCACTTCATACAAAAACTACACTTCTTACTTCCCATACAAGCACGCACTGTTTCCTTCTTTTTATGTTGGATTCCGTTCTCATTCCTTTTTTTTTTTTTTTTTTTTTCGTCTGTTTGTTTGTTTTTTACTCTTCTGTTCGCCCTGTGACATGTCATATGTTATTCCTCCAACCTTCTTCCTCATCTCCCTCACAGTGTGTGTGTGGGTGGGAGCGTCACGGCAGCCTTGCGCACATTCCCCCTACGGCACACCGTGCCTCTCGCTACGACACGTACATAAATCTACAAGAGCGCATTTTACGGCGTGTCTCGGTCTGTTTGTCCCCTTCAGCCCCCTCATGCTGAAAATAAATGGAAAAAAAAGAAAAAGAAGCACACGGCTCACCCCGTCTTCATCGGCGCTCTTCGGCCGCAAAACTAATTTTATTCGAGTGCACCGACATCGACAAAATCCACAAACTCGTCGCTGTCGTTTGCCACCGCGCCCAGCTCCTGCCGCTCGTCTCGTGGGTCTTCGCGCTGCTCGCAGTGCGAACTGCCGCCGTTGGTGACGGTGGGGAGTTCCATCAGCCACTCCGCGTCGTCGCCCATCATTCGATCAAACGACATGGAGTCCGCCTCTCCCTCGCAGTCCATGAGAATCAGCCAGTCGGCCTCCTCGTCCTCAACGACCTCCAGCGCCCTTTCAAAGTCGCGGTACTCCGCCGTGGCTTTTCTCCGCCGCTCCCGCCTCGCCTCCGGTCCGTTGCGGCGCAATAAAAACGGCAAGTAACCGCCCCCAAAGGAGCCAATGAAGGAGCCCAACGCCGTCCCCACGCCGGGGACTACCAGAGCGCCAAGAACGGCTCCGCAGCTGCCACCCACAAGCGAGGCGGCGCCCGAAGAAAGGGCCGTCACGACGTCGTAGGAAAACTGCTGCGCCGCAATCTCAGGGTCCGTGAAGGAGTGCTTAAGAAGAATGCAGCCGTGGAACCCAATCTGAACCGCGGTGGCGGAGATGGCAGAGACTGCGCTTCCGTGGAGGCCAATCGTTTTAAATTGCATCAAAAGGGACTGTTTTGCTAACCACGAGGTGGCATTTGACGTACTGCCTACACGCCCCGGCGTGCACGAAGCAATAAGCCGGGCAAGCCTCTCAATCGTGCGCACCAAAAGCCGAGGTGAAGAGAGTGAGGCACGCGAAATCACAAACAGAAACGCCTCCACCTGCGCGCGTCCACTCAACGCCGCGTTAGAAGCAATCATTTCCCCAAATAACAAATGTGAGAAAGACCCAGCAAGCCGTACAGAAGCAATGGATTGAAGCGTGGCTCGACTCACACGCACAGCGACGACATATACAGGCACAACTCCAGACGAAACAATGCATGGCCTCCTCCACAAGCGTTTCTCACCTTCTAAAACCCCCATGAGGCGTATACACGTATAAACATGTATAATTTACGTATACCTATATATATATATATTTCTTTCTGTGTGTCCTGCTTCCTATGTGCAAACCAAACTCCACCTGCTTTGCGTCTGCAGGCGCCTGCCAGTTTGGTCAAACAAACAAACAAAAAAAAAAAAAACAGAGACGCGTCAAACAAATAAAATAAAATAAAAAGATACAAAAAAAAAAAAGAAAAAACCTGCAAAAAAGAATATAAACTCGAAAAAAAAAAAAAAAAAAAAACAGGAAAACCATGCGGCAAACAACAGAGAGAAAGAGAGAGAAAGAAAGATACATTTATAAGGGAGAAAGGCCCACTAGAGAAAAAACACCAGCCGAGTCACCCTGACGCAGCCGTTGAATGCGCGTCAAGAATCCCGTCCACTTGGGAGCCCAGCAAACACAGAATGGAACATAAAATAAAACAAAATCTAAGTCAGTGCGCTCTTTTCTGCCGATTGTTGAACTCTATCCACGCTGCCTCGCTTGCCTCTATTGAAATGCATAGCGTGATTGATGTTGCTTGCAATGCGCACATGTCGCTTGTTGGCTTGAGGAAAATTCGTTGCTTTGGTTTCATTGCGTTGGGTCGCGTAAAACTCCCCGCGCATAATTCGCGTCATGACCGGCTCTCCGCGAAGCAGCAGCTGTCGGTAGGGGTTTTGGAGCACCCAACGCCCCTTTTTTTGCTCCACAAGACGATCCATTGTGTGAGCCGTTGGCATCGTGTGGCAAAGATCCAACTGGGACGCGGTGAGGTGCAGTAAATGATCCACAACACGCCGGCGTGGAATGGATAACTCGTAGCGAAGTATTGCCTGCTCACGATCCATTGCGGCCCTCTGCTCCTTCTCGCGTTCATGGGAACGAGGAGAACCCCCCTGTAGCCTCCTTTTTTCTTTCGTGTTTGTCTCCCACTCATGACGGGCAATCTTTCGGTTCATGATGTAACAGGAGCAGGAGGAGCTGCCAGGCCCAGCCGCGCAAATGTGTGGGGCTGAGACGGCAGCAGCGGCAGCGGCATCGCCATGCCCGCACCCCACCTCTTGTGCGAGCTGCCACTGTTTGCTCAGTCGCATGTCCGGTAGCAGCGTTCCATCGGCGCAGCGCACAGGGGGACACGTCCACGGCGCCGGCGACGAACGACCCCTCGCAAAGAGTCGCTGCACCGCAGCCTTGTTGCGTTCCCTCGCCGTCGCGTTTGTCATGAGCGTGCAATCTTCCTGTCCCACGAGGAGAAGCCGCGTGGGTGTCCAGAAATGCGTCCACGGTCTTCCTCTTCCCGCCTTGAATTCCTCCAACCGACGACTACACGTCAAGGAGGTCCTTCCACGCGTTATCTACGATCAATCGGAGAAAACAGAGACGAAAAAAAGGGGGAAAAAGCA